TTTTTTTTAATTTTTACAAAATACGAATTCTTTAACGATATCTTCGATGTCATGACAACTTGTCAAATTTATAAGTATATATCTTTCAAAAAAAAACAATTATAGCTATTATAATAGACTTAAAATATATAGTTCACATCAAATAAACTTTTAGTCACGTAATTAAGCTTGACCGGCACAATGTTGCCCACTTTTAAATATTTTCTTTTAGTCAAAATATTTTAGAAAACAAAAATAAATTAATTATAAATATATAAACCGTTATTATTTACATCAACAAAACTCACCTCCTTAACAACACTTAAGGAACATAAAGGGGCATTATTACCATCACTTTCCCGATCAAAATACTCTAATAAAGTTACGATGAGTTTTTTGGAACGGCTATTAAGCTATCTTGTACACTTCGCACTAAAAAAGGTTCTAAAAAGCACAATGTTCAACTGCAAGGTCTGGTAGTAAAAACATTTAAGCTTAAAGTATCACATCACAATTCATTTAAGCCAAATACAAAACTAAAGCGTCAAAACGAATGACAATGTCAGGAAATAAATAAATAAATGTGGCATCTTGACATTTTTTACAGCAGAGCTACCACCTGAATCTCTAGCGCGAAACTTAAATTCCAGTTAATCAATCCTGCGTCGAATATGTTCATGGTTGGCAACAATGAATTTAAAAATCGAACCCTTGATTACGCAACTAAAAGTTTAATTGGTATCGAATATAGGTAACTAGATATAGAAATTATAAGATATAAAAAAGTTTCCAAAATGTAATAATATACCTGATGTCCCATCTAAAATGACAAAGTTGTTACTGTTGAAGTAAATATATTTATTAAAACTACATTTTTTTTAATAACCCTGTATAATAATGCAAAAACTCTTCACATTAACATTAATTCTTTTCAAATTCATTCATTTGTTCAACAAAACAATACAAAAAGGACATTTAAAGTTATCCATCCAAGGACTGACTACTGACTAGTATATGCTGCCTAAATAAAACTTTAAAAGGAAGCTAGATATATCTGAAATTTTACAGTTTCAATTCATAAAAAATACGTTTAATTACATTGCAGAGGGGCCGCATAAAAAACGAGAGGAAGTGTTTGAAATTAACAGCTCTCTAATTGTTCTGCAAATAACTTTAGAACAAACACAGGCAGCCAGACATCTAGTCGGTTTGTTTATCCATTTTTTTGTTGGTTCTCTTCAATTACGACGTGAAAAGAATAAATTGCTTTGTGCTGGGTAAATGAATAGCTTCATTTAAAAAAAACTGTTTAATGCAAGGATTAAACTAGGTACTTTATGGAAATTTATTTTACTGTATTGTTTGAATGGAACCTGCAATTGTTAATTTTTTTAAAGGAAGAATTGTCTATTTAAAAAAAATGATTTTTTACAATTCTAATAAGTTATTCTTAAGTTTGTATTTATTTTATACCCCTGAATCATTATTACTGCTTTTTGCAGTAATTATTTATGTCAAAATTTTATTATGTTTAGACGAGAACAACTTGAAACCTATTTCATAAATTTTAATTATAAACAACATAATTTTAAATACAAAATATATTAATACCTTAATATTAAAATCTCATTTAATTATTATACTCTGTAATTAGATTCTGTGTACAAGGCTGCTTCTTTGTGGAACTTTGCTTTCTTTTAGAATAAAATGAATTTAGATCTTTATAATAACCATCCTCAACCATACTGTTTAACAGAATTATCACTTTTTGTGCCGTTATATTCAAATTTTGAAAGAAAAGTTCAAGAACTGTCGTTGGATAAATTTAGGAAACTAGTCTTCATTAGGGATTTTGCAAAACGACTGAAAACAGATAGGCCCTTTGTAAAAAAATCTTCTTTTGTTATAAACGCCGGCGTTTTATAATATGCCTAGTCTTTTTGCAAAACACCGAGTTATTCGATATGCCTGCGACATATACATATATCTTAAAAATGATATTCACAAAAAAAATGCGTATGCTGTGTTTCGCCTTGGGACAGCCGAATTACTCTATGTCTGAGCTTGATTTTTAACACCCCACCACTATTACCCTCGGCCAAATAGTTGCCGAGTCTATTCTTCTTTCTCAGCCTGGTTCCATCCAGTGTTGGATATAGGCCTCTTCTAGGTTTTTCCATGCTTCGCGATCTCTAGCCAATCCTATCCATTGTCTTCCCGCCACTGCACTGACGCCATCGACCCATCTCTTTTTTGGTCGGCCCACACTTCTTGTTGTTCCCCTAGGTCTCCATAGGATGACTTTTTGCCTTTGCCACATGTCCTATCCATTGCCACTTCAGACTTGCCAATCTTTTAACAACATCTATTAATTTTGTTTTTTGACGTATGTAGGTGTTTCGTATTTTTTCCCTAATGGTGACTCCCAACATGATTCTTTCCATGGCTCTTTGTGCTACTCGTAGTTGTTCTGCTGTTTTTCGGCTAATTGCCATAGTCTCTAAGCCATACGTAAGCACAGGTAGAATGCAGCTGTCATAAGCCTTTTTCTTTAGGTTGATGGGCACCTTTTTATTTTTGAAAATATCGCTCATATTTCCAAGTGCTACCCATGCCAAATGGATCCTGCGTTTGACCTCCGTATTTTGGTTCTCCTTACTCAGCTTGATTTTATGACCTAAATATATATAATGGTCTACATTTTTAATAATAACGTTGTCTACGGTAATGTTATGGATATTGTTGCTCATTATCTTGGTCTTTTTCAAGTTCATTTTAAGGCCAGAGAATTCGGTACATTAGAATATTAGGTATTCGGCAAATCCGGTATTCGGTGTATCTCTATTACAGATAAGGCTACCAAAGCTTATGAAAAATATAATTATTCTGTTGCCAGAGAACATAATAAAAGTTAATTTTAATGCTAAACCACGCCGATTCCAAACAAACTAAGTAAATAAAAATGTTTATGACGTCCGTTTTCCATTTCGTACATTTGTGGGTCAGGCTCTGTGGTGCGAATATGGGCATAATTACATATGTCGGTGTAATTAATGCTAAATAGAACGCTATTACGAGTATTTCATACACTTTACGTTAAAATATTGAGCATAATATAACTTAGAACATAAAAGACTGACCCGCATTGACATTTAAAATGTTAGTTTTTTTAAATTAATATTACAGCAAATTAACATTTCCTTGAAAGTAGTAATTGTGAAATAATAGCTATATCTTTGGGGCGCTTATGAGCTCAAAGGTATCGTCGAAACTCGTCTGGGACTGCCTAGGTGAACTGGGAGCTCTGGCAAATGTATGTTGCCCGTAATGCCCTAAATTTCTGGATCAGCGAAAAGTAGAATATCCACTGGAGAAACAGACAAGGACACAGGCAAAACAAGGCCTTTATCCAAGGACCTAGGTCTAAAACCGCAAAAGAACTGTTAATGCTTAGCAGGAATAAAGTGCGGATTACACCAGGCCTTTTGACAGAAAACATGGCTGTCAAGTGTTACCTGAACAAGCTCAATCTGTATCAAGGAAGTCTTTGCTGCAGACCCTGTGATAAAGATCTTAAAACAGCGGACCACATAATATGTCACTGCGAGGCTTTGGATCGCAAGTGACACTTTTTATTTGGGAAAGCTAAGCTAGAACCGGAAGAACTATGCTCCCATCCTATCAAGTACCTGCATAAGTTAGTGCAGGGAACAGAGATAGGAAAATGGGTGCAGATATAGAAAGGGGACAAACACAATAGGCCTCTCAGGTCGCGGACGGCCCCTTGTTATTGAAAAAAATAGATATATCTTTATGAACTTCTCTGGGCATTGTCTTTAATTTTTTTAACAAATATTACCTGATGACAGTTGGAGCATTGTACCAGGAGAAGCACTGTCCTGGCTGCGTCAAGGCGGAGTCATACTGTGCTGGGTGCCAGGCCACAGCAATGTGGTGGGGAACCAAGGAAAAAGATATATAGAGATAGTATTTATTAACTAACTATAATTCTGCTTCAGTGATTTTATTCCCGCGCCATACAAAAATCCTAAAGACTACAAGCAAATACTTCTGCAAAAACAAATTGAAAAATTCAAATAAATATGTAAATTAGCTAAGTCATTTAACCCCGTTGTAGCAGTATAGCACGTTTTCAACTAAACAATTCATGAGTCATCGAAAGAATTGAAACAATTGATCAGAAACCTTCGGTACATAATTCTAGACACGACTTTTTCACAAATCGCGAATAAACACTACACAACGCGCGCTTAAAAATCAAGAAAACTAGAAAACGTTGAATTAAAACAAAACAGTAGAGATGGGTTCTTGGTCATGAAACCTAGATCCTTATTCAAAACTTCAATCGTTGAAATCGGCATGAGAGTCGATTTCAACGACTGAATCGCAACGAACTTGTTGTGAAGTATCATTACTTCAACTCCTTAAAAGCTTAGAAAAGTGAATTCTTGAAGTTATAAATTAAGCATTAATTAATAACGGAGCTACATATGTAGCAATAAAACACCAATGTCCATACCAATATCATCATCATCATTCAATCATTTCCAATTATGGTGTAGCCTCCCTCACATATTTAGGTACTCTCTTTCTAGTTGGTCCCATTGTTGGCTATACGGATCCAAGTTATCCTTGCTAATTTCCTAAAATCATTCCCACCAAGCAAACAACCTCACATTACATTTGCAACATTGCAATCAATCCCCAAACAGTTTGCTATGTAATGTTAATTTCTAATAGTTGTGTCGTGACTGATGAAACCTTACTACAGAAACATTGTTTTTGAATGGTGATTAAAACGTTTTTTCTGCAACATTGCAACAAAGATTTAAATGAAAGATCCGCGCAAATTGACTTGGAAATGAATATCGATGACATTCCCCATATAATTTTAGATATAAAATGACAGCGATTTTCTTTTCATAGCCATCGCTGACGCATTTTTTTTATCATACGGTATAAGTTAGAAGTTAGGTTAGGTCAGGTTAGGTTAACGCACTTGTTTTTTTACGTTTTTGGTATCACGTTTTATGCTTTTCGAATGAGATTTTAATGAATGTAAATGTAAGTATAATTTTATTTTCATGTGTGTTTTAATAATGCTTAGCCATGAATAAATATAACAAATTTTGTTTAGTTTGTTTATAAGCTAAATTTTGTCTTAGGTTAGCTTTTAGCCAACTGAAAATTGAAGTAGATAAAACCAGGATACGAGTATATCAATCTAATGATAAAATCACAAATAATATTCAGTATTAATTATTCTCAATAATATTTTTTTATTGATGTTTTAATCATTTGAGATTTTTAAAATAAGGACATAAAGGGGCCTCAAAGATTACTGTCACAAGAGGTAAGTTACTCATTGTTTTATTTATTACAACTGATCGTTTTTATTTTTACTACTTTAGAAATGATTGGATATAGATTTCAAAACTTTACCGAAGAGGAATTTGTAACCATGAATAAGAGAATTCAACATGCGAAGACAAAATATGAAAGATCCAAAAAATCAATTAAAATATAAGTTTGCCTTTCCTTGTACATATATTTAATGTTATACTTTCCTTTTGTATTTTTGAATAAGAAATATATAATAATGTTTATACTGTACCTATATATTTTGTATTATTTCAGACATCCAACTTTAAGATTTTTTTTAGAAATTCGACTCGGAGATCAGAGTTGTGTAATTCCTTATTTAATGAGCAGCCGAAAAGATCAGTAAGTTCTCAGTACTTATTTCTTATATTTTTGAAACAAGTAAGTGATAACTTTCTAATTTTTATTTGTTTTTTTTTTTAATTTGTTTGACAAATTCGACTTTCTTGGTAGGGATATATTTATACCGATCATTTTTAATTTTTCAAAGTCAATGGATATAGAGATATGCATATTTTTATCAATATTGTTTGTTCGTCAATACAATATTAGTAAACGTATATTATACCTATCTGAAAGTTTACAATTTAATACCCATTAATGTTTCTGTTGATTATAACCTATTACTGATGTATTATTGTTAACATAAAATTGCTAATGTTCGTAAAAAAACTTTTTCATTAATTGATAAGTAAATATTAAAAAATAATTTCTATGTATACTCTCCGATGAATGAAATGGTTTTTTATTGCGAACATTATCTATTTTTTGCTATATTATTTTGGCAATAAGTCAGTTAATAAGCTATAACAAAATAGAAAGTTTAATGGACAATAAGTTTTGAAACATAGGTACAATATAATTTTACCGATGTTGTATTGACGTAAAATTAACAATATTGCTAATAAATCTCAAATTAGTACTTTCTTGAATGTTACATTAACAACGTTTCAATAATATTGTGAAATCTTCTCACGAGGTTGTGACAAGGTTTCAATAAACTGGCATCAACATTTTTTTCAACCTTGCACTGCAATGTTATTTGGCGGTCTGCTAACCTGCCACCTTGCAAAAACCTCCCTACAATGAAAAAAGCAATGTTACACCTTGCTTTACAAAGCAAGGTGTAGCTTTGCGCAGTTTTGGCAATGTTCCAGCAATAAATTTTGCTTGTTGGGATGGTCCCATCTCAGATTTAGTCTTCTTTTAGACCTCTTAATTGCTCGTGGGTACCATGCTGTAATTTTTGTAGTCCAACTGTTGTCCGTCCTTCATGCAAGATGTCCTGCCCATTGCCACTGGGATTTGATTCTGTGGATGACATCTATTACCTGGGTCTTTTGTCGTATCCACTCTATTCTTTGACGATCTTTCTTGGTTATTCCCAGCATATTTTATTTCGTTCCATTGAGCGTTGTGCGACCTGCAGTTTCCTTATAATGTCCGTTTTAAGTGTCCAGGTTTCGCATGCATAGGTTATGACTGGTAATACACATTGGTCGAATGTTTTCTTCTCTAGATAAAGTGGCATTCTAGATTTTAATATGACTGAGTTCCTTCCATTAGTACTCCATGCTAACTTAATAATTTCAATATATTGTTATGTATGTCTGTACTCAGACTGATCATTAAAATTTACTGAAACAAACCAAGTGTGTTTTTTATTTGATTTTGTAACCTCCGATTAGCCCATCTCTACGAACCAGTCTAAATTCAAGGTCGAGAATCATCTTCATTCTTTGCAAATGAGGCGTTCCGTAGCCCCAGGTACTTTTCACCTTGAATCTTCGTTCCGTTTCAGAGGCAAAAAAGAAGATTTTGAGTGTTGTGCGTAGTTAAAATTTGAAGAATTTATCAAATGAAGGAAAAATAATGATGTTCGCAATCATTTGCCTTCAATTGTCAAAGATCTTTTAATTTTTATCTAATTAGTTATCAAGGCATTTAATTTTAATTATTAAGTTATCTATATGTGATTATCAAACACCTAGTTTTTATTCTTGGATGAGCACCAGTAAGTGGTTAACCTAGGTTATAATATTATCTTTCAACAGTTAGTATATTTTATAAAGAATTAAAAAGTATTATCGATTCTTTAATTAAAAGGAATATTATCATTATCTGAGATAATTATTCAATTATAAAAAAAGAACTTGAACCTTGAACTTGAAATATTATAGCATTTACAAAAAATTATGACAGACTCACTGTTTTCATAAAAATGATTTTAATCCTGATTTCATATAAACAGATATCCTATTGGGTTGGCTAAATAGTTTTTTAATCTTAATAAATGAAGACTTTATAGATGCATTTTGCCCATTTTTTCGAAATTTGGCAAAGAAAAACTGCTACGCTTTTTGCAAAAAACTTACCGAACAAATAGTACACCTACATGTGAAAAATCTAGTTTTGATGACATCTGAAAAAATTGAAAAAAAAACTGTTGACTCCTTTAGACGTTAAATTTCTCTCTTTTTTTCTTCTACCACTACCGATAAAATTTTAGAACGTCGTTACTGACATAATATTGTAACTTTGTGTATGTAGTTTGCAATGCAACATTGATTGGGTTGAAAATCTTTAAAAAATGGACAAAATGCATTTAGTAAGTCTGCTCCTTAAATTTTTTACAAACGCTGTCCATTTCTTATTCGCCTGAATTTTGATATATTGTTTTTAGGCTAGTGACAATTAAGAGAAACTTAATAACAAGCTTTTTATATTTATTTATTTTTTCACTCTTAATGATCTGCTGATGATGCTAACATGGTTAGCGAAACGCGCACCCAGTTCTAAAGTAAAGTATTATGGTGTCTTATGGTGAATTAGTGTTTTATTCTGCTGTTGTAACACAAAAAGTTCCAACCCCTCAACTATAATATTTTTCGCTACAGTGAGTTAATACTACCAACCATGACTAGCTCTGAAACTTAGACAATAGACATTGGTCAGCCGTAACAGGAGCAGATGAAAGGAGAATAAGCCACGGGAATAAAAATATAAACAAATAATCATAAAATATAAGTTCAAATGTAGGAGATCTCCTAACAGTGATAAAATTATGCCTAGGGTACCATACTAACGTAAACAATTTCGAGGACACAACAAAGAACATAGATCATTTTCCGTTACAACATTTTCAACGTAACAAATCTTTTTCTCCACGCTGTACAATCTATCACCAACCTCCAACCGCATTTTTAACCTTTCAAGACCACTCGGAACCATAGAGAAGAAAAAAACAACACGATTTTTAGATCTACATCTGTGCTTTGTGTAAATATACACATACCAAATCGGTGTGTGTATTTTGAAGAACAACTTCTTCAGCGTTGGATGGACTTTAGGGCATAGATATTAATCACTGCCCACCATTATGTATTTATTTTCAAGTTAATTGTGATAACGCATCCCTTGCATATCCCTCAGTTATTCGAGATCAGGAGTTTAGTCCTTTTGTCTTCTAATTAGTCTATGTGTGCCTCTAGAGTCACTGTAATTTTAGTGACCCATCTTTTCCCATTAGCATTGGACTGATTTATTTCTATATAACCTCTGTTTACCTAGGTCTTCTCTCTTATTTTAAGTCTATATCTACTCTTAGGCACCTAAAAATTTATGTTTTTTAGGCACCTTAAAATTATGATGTACTTTTTAAGTTAAATATATTTTGTTTTATTGGGCCGATTTTTTTTAATTTTTTAAGCAATTTGTAGCTAAATTATATAAATTTTAGTACCTTTTTCTAAATTAAAAAAGATCCAGTTCATTTTCCAAAGTTTCCATCTGTCAATTATATCAGGAAAAACAAAATGTTGATATTTTGATGAAAGAAAAAAAGTTTGAAACACCCTGTGGAATATGTTAACAAAACAAGGAATTTAAAAATAATTTTATCATCTAGGGTCTTTTCTCGATAGTTTGTTTTTTGATTCATCTCAATAGCTTTATTTTTATTGGAGATATTTGTTTTGAATAAGACAGTAACGATTTTAACGCAATTTTAGCATTGATTTTAGGTCCTCATCAACACACTTATAAAATACAGAAAAGTCATATTATCAGGGGTGGATGGGCCATATGGGAAAACGGGAAAACTCCCGTTGGGCCGGTGGAAAGATGGGCCGGTGGGCCGGTCCAGATCAGAGCTCAAAAAAGGTTGGATTAGCAAAGATTAAATGCTTCATCTTCTAACTAAAGTGACGTAAGATCCTTAGTGACTCCATAACTAACTAATCAATTTGCATCAGTATAATCGTCAGTTGCTTTTAAACATAAACACCAATTTGTAAAATAACTATTGTAAAATGTCTTTCTCTGAGACACTTATAATTCTAATAATCATCTGTTCGGTTTGCAAATTTTATTTACTAATTTTTATTTTTGAAATTTTTTTATTATACAAGGTGAGTCTATATAAGTAAGTGCAAATATTTTCAGGGCTGGTAGATCTCAATAAAATAAACATAATATTGTTACGTTTTTCGTCGGTTCCGTGTGGATAGAAAGTCACAATTTATTTAAACACTATTTATTTAACACTAATGAACAAAAATAATAACGATAAAAGGCTTATAGAACTATTTACAAACGATTTATAACTAAGAATTTATTTTGAATTTTAGCGCGTCAACTGTATATTTATAACTGCCCCCTGTAGGCCACGGCCGCCGGCTTTTATACCGGCAGGTAAAGAACTCTAGAATTGTCCATAGATCGTTAGGTGCGTAGAGAAGGTTTTCGAATGTTCTCGTATGTACTCGTCCATTCCAGTGGGACTCGATTCTTCTCGAACGAATGAATCATTGCGGTGTCTATGCGATGTTAAGGTCATCCGAGGGCGGGCCATATTGTGAGGTTAGGTCGAGTCCACACCGGCCCGCAACACTGCCCCCTTCTTAGGTACATGCTCGTCCCGAGATGTATACGGTGAATGAAGGTATTTGCAAAGCTGGCCCCTGGTACATTGCGAAGTCTGGTAGAAATAGCAGTCTACAGTTTTCTCTCCCGATCTCAGCTTTGGGTTGTAGCAGCAAACGAGGATCTCGATTCCCGTAAATCTGAA